ACTCTGTCAGCAGGCCTGGTATGGAGAGTGGCGGAGCCCAGAGAATTGTCACATTACTGGATGTCACCTTGGTGATGGTGAGGAACTGAGGTGCAGCCGGAGCTACCAGAAGAGAGAAAGAGAAAGAACATGAAGGTATTTTCATGTAGTTGAATGTGTATGACATTGAAAGTTGGAGATATACATTATCTAAAATCAATAAAGATAGCAGGAACCATGTACATTAGGGGTGCAACGACACCGGAAAGCCACGGTTTAGTATGTACCTCGGTAGTGACATCACAGTTCAGTACATTTTCGGTGCAAAAAGGAATGTGGATGCACAAAAAAAAATGTACCAAAAAATCATAAATATATACTCTATAATAGAATTTAAGGCTTGCCCAACTTCATGTCCGCCTTGTAATGATAATATATAACTATATATTAGATCATATCAATAAAGCGATATTATTAATATACAGTATTACTGATATTAGCGTGATCTGTAAGAAACGTTATCTCTTTTTTTTTTTCCAATAATGAAAATCAGAGAATGCAATTTCTGGGTTTCGCCCTGGTCATGTGACCTTAAATTAGTCAAAGTGAAAGCGAATTATTGTCATTGTGACAGAGCACATCGCTGCACAAAAGACCACACATGTTGGTATCGGTTAATATTGGAAAATAATAAGGTGTTTGTTGGTTATACTCCGCTCAGGAGTATTAGTCGCAACAGTGCCCTCTAGCGGCTGTCAGTGTAAAACTAACGAACATGTCAATTTTCAGTGGTACAGGAGTACCATATACTGGAACACAAGCACAGAGGGCCCTCTAGCGGCTGTCAATGTAAAAATAACACATTTTCAGTGGTGACGTGAAATGATATATTTTTAATACCTGAGTATAAGTTGAAAACCCAGCCAAAGGATGAAAAAAAAATGCGACTCATACTACAGGAAATACTATATTTCATATATATATATATATAAATATATATATATATATATACATTAAATGCCTCATCGCCCATAAAGGCACAGTGCAAAAGAAAAATTTTCTCTACATACCTGATTCAGAAAGAGTAGAAGCCGAGCAGTTCACTTTGTCACCAGGTCCTGCAGAGTTGACTGCAGAAACAGTGAGTGTGTACCAATTGTCTGGTAACAAGCCTGTCACCACGTGCTCCGTTGAGGGAGACTGATATTCGAAGAACTCCAGTCCTATGCCTACTGTAATCTCATAATAAACGATTTGCCCGTTAGGGTTGGCTGGAACTTCCCAGGACAAAAAAATTGAATCCCAGCTCAACCCGGAGCAAGAGAGGTTTCCAATTGGATCCGACACTGTAGACAGACAAAGTAAGACGGTTTCGTGATTATTGCCTTTAGCATTAGCATTAGCATCGAAAAAACAAATAGAAAGGTGACGTAATAGTTAGACCCGTTAGTCAATTGTACGGTATTCACATTGTCCTAGAAGTGCTTTGAATTATTTTTGAAACATTTCTCCACTTTTACAAATCTCTATGATGTCACAACCAAACCAGAACTTAGCTTCTGATTATTTATTTTTTTTACAAACCTGTATTTACATGTTTACAACATTGGCTTTGTGGATAGAAGTTTCATTTCTTTTCTATATTAGAAAAAAAAAATGTTGTGTTTGTGTGAAATGTTTTGGACAAAGTTTGACAAAAGTTTGTAGGAACAAATACCGTAAAGCACTATGAGACGCCAAACAACCAAACAATGTTAGCTTTTACTGAATAGTGTCAGCAGTATGAACTCATTATTATTGTACTTTACCTGACTCGTTGGTAGTGAAGGTCACGGGTCTGCTGAACTGATTTCCATGGCCTACACTGGTGTAACTGTAAACACTTATCTCATAGGAGCTATGAGGCCTGAAACCAGACAGATAGGCTGTGGTGGATGGATCAGAGGAGTTCTACATTGGTACAAACAAAATACACACGAGTGTTAAAGAAGAGGCAGTAACATAGGGGCATTACATAAGGTTCTTCTTCCGGTCATCTGGACTGTGAAATAACAGCGAGTCTCAGCCTCAAGTAGCTTTACACTGATTACGTTGATGATATCTTACTTTTAAAATCAAAGCAACATTTCAGTGTGTCGGAAAACAATAACCAGAATGGAGTGATAGTCAGTGGTTCAAAGATGGAACAATGAATTGTAGTACCTGATATGTGACACTGTGTGTGATGAGGTCTCTAACCCGGAAGCTGTACTGCAGTATTACACCACTGGGCTGCAGGGGGGGCTCCCACCGGAGCCATACAGACACAGCCGTGTAGTTGTATATCATGAGGTTACGCGGCGGAGACATGGGTTCTAGTGGACAGAAGTGAGATTCTTTACAAACACATATGCAACTCGCAGACATAAATAAAAAAAAATAAAAAATAATAATAAATAAATAAAATCACCGTCTTCGTCGGTGTGCAGCTGCAGCAACAGGCCCTGGTGCCCAGAGCCTTTACGCGTTGCTGCCGTAATGGTCAGGTTGTAGGGTGTGTATGGTAAAAGGTTGGTAAATATGACCGAGTTGCTTGAAGTTTGTGATGAGTTCGAGCCACCCGGACCGGACAGATTAACGGTATACTCTGTGATTTCCCCGTTGGCCTCCAGAGGTCGCTGCCACACCACGGCGATAGAGGACGATGACAGGTTCGTTGTCGATACAAGCACTGGTGCAGAACTGGGAACTGAAAACAAACAGAAAAATGCACCATATATATACACTAGTATACCGTTACACAATAAATTTTTTTTTTTTTTTCTAATTTTTCTAATATTTTAAAATATTAGAAAATAACTTCTTTTTAATAGTTTCTATCTAGTTCATTTTTGGGGGGTATTTTATGTTGAACAAAGGGCCTATAATACCTTGATTAAAAAAAGAATGTGTTTAAAACATTTGGCTGTGCTTCAAATATAGATTACAAAAAATATTGTGACATCTGTCTTTGCTGGAAAACTGCAACCTAAAACCTACATAAAAAGGTCAGTCTACCCAGTCAAACATACATGAATTTCTCTGTCATTGTCCATCAACTTACTGTCTTCATCAGTCCTTAGGTTCAAAGTACTGGTGTGGTTGTAGGCCGCACCAGCACTAGTGGCGGGGATAACAGTGACCACGTAAGGAAAGTACTTCCTTAATTTGGTGAACAGGACAACGTTGTCTGTAGTTGTCTGTTTGATGGTCTTGTTAGCAGCAGGAGTCCCTTGGCCTGATATGTCTGGCGGAACGCCGGCCTCCTGTAAGGTGATCAGGTAGTACGGCTGACCGTTTGGTTCCAGGGGAGGGTCCCAGCTAACGACAACAGTCGTAGAGCTGTAAATTGCGGCTGTCAGGTTTTGAACCGAACCGCTGGGTACTTGAAAAGGAGACAAATAAGGAGCGGTATTAGTAAATCACAGTGATGGTTCTGGTTTTCAGCTTTTCATTATACAGGGAAAAATCAACCCAGCTATTGTAGCAATGCACCACTTACAAGCTTAAAAACATCATCATCATCATCATCATTCATGTTTGTTACAGAGACCTTTAGGAAAGTTTGCATCACCATAACCACACTAACACAAAAAAATAAAACTTAAATACCTAGCAAGTGCAAGAGCAACTTAGCAAAGCAATAAAACAACACCGGAAACAAAAACAACACTGATCAATAGAAAAGTGGCAAAGGTGGGCAAAGGAAAAACTCACAAGGTAAAAAAAAAAAAAAAAATATCTGGAGCTTAAGAATTGGGCATAAAATACTCATTCCGTTCTGCAACGTAGTCTCCCTGAAAGGAATGCGCTGGGCACAAAGTAGAAACAAACAGATAAAGAGGAAAAGGCAAGAAAAAAAAAAGTGTTAAGATCCACAAGATTCATGTGTCGGAGTAATGGCCCAGGTATGTTTGAGGGTTAGAGTTGAACGATGCTTTTCTGTGAAGGTCCGGCGCTTTGCTGTGATCGAAGCAGCTAGAGTGCAGGCAGAGATAAAGAGTCAGTATAAGCAGCAGACTGGAAATACTTCACAAGTCCAGATTAAACACAAAAATCAACAAAACACAGAAACATGTTTCTGTATGTATCAAAATGTTGGGAGCTAATGTCTGCGTCATTTTTCTCAAAATCACATAAAGACAATCATTAAGGGTGTTGGAAGTTGGAAGTTTTATACACCCATCAGGTTTGTCCAGATTCCGGGGAATTTTGTTTTTTATTTAGTTGCAGCTAGGCCTCTCGCAGCTTTCGTCATGCTCGGTAAAAGGAAATACAAACTGGCTGTCTTTAAAGAGCAATATCCCAGAGGGATACGAAATAGGCCAGTTTGCCTTGGTAATTACAGTCTCCTTTCCCAAGCAGGCTGAAAGTTACTTCTTCAAAGTGATTTTTTTTTATTTTTTTTTTATGTGATTTGTTTTGTTTGGTTGAAAGGTTGATGAGAGAAATGTCTGCAGAGTCACCCTCTAGTATGTGTTGCTTACTCATTTGATTAACTTTTTTTTAAGGTTATAATATTGTTTAAGTATTTTGCAAAAAAATATATATTTTGTTGGATGTATGTTTAAATATATGTGTGTGTGTGTAAGGGGGGGGGGGAGGAGACTAACCATCCTCAGGTAAGCTTAGGCTAATAGGTTCACTCTGGACTCCTCCATCCCCATCAATTGTGCTCGATGTCATCCAAAGTGTGTACTGAGTTCCACCAACCAGTCCGTTTAGAGTGTAGTAGAAGAAAGAATCAGGGGAGGCAGGCACGGGCAAGTCTGAAACAGGAACTCTCTACGGAGAACAGGGAGAAGCAAGAATTACGTCGATTTCCAGTCATTTTCCATCTGTCTTACTAATAATTCACTGTTGTGAATATCCGTATTTTTCGGACTATAAGTCCCACTTTTTTTTTTGTCATCCTTTGGCTGGGTTTGCTACTTAAAGTCAGGTGCATATTACATACATTAAAATATATAATTTCACGTTTGTTATTTTAAGACTGACAGCCACTAGAGGGCACTCCAGGCTTGTCTACCAGTATCTGCTACTCCTGTAGCACTGGAAATTTACATGTTCTTTATTTTCACACTGACGGCCGCTAGAGAGCACTGGCGCGACTTATAGTCTGGAAAATACGGTAATTAGTGAATTATAGACTGTGGACACAATAGGAAATAAATAAACAAAAAAAAAAAAACAAAAAAAAAATAGAACACAAGCAACAGGTATCGACTTGTTTGAAAGGACAACAAATAGTCTAATGTCTGTATCAAAGCTATTTGCGCTTTGATTTACGCAAAAAAAAAAAAAAAAAAAATAGAACACAAGCAACAGGTATCGACTTGTTTAAAAGGACAACAAATCTAGCTATTTGCTTGATTTACGCAAAATTATATAATTATATAATATTAATTATAATTTTCTCTCCCATGTATATTCTTTCATTCTGTATCTTCACGGGTTATTGCAGAGGTTCCCAAAGTGGGGGAAGATAAAATAGATAAAATAGACAAGTTTAAGGTTCGTAAAAAAACAGTATCATTTAAAATGCGTGAAATAAACAAGTCCGAAAATAAAATATATGTGTGTCCTGTGTCCTGATTTTTGTGGGGGGGGGGGGCACTGGGTTATTGTATTGAAAAGTAAAGGATTTCTTTTTAAAAAGGTGCTACTGCTTTAAAACATAAAAAAGTATGTCAAAGATTGTGACCATCCTTAGGCAACCTAAAATAATAGCTAACCCTTTTTTTTGCCATTAAAAAAATGGAGGAAGGAAAGTGAACAGTGGGCGTCTTTAAGTACCCGGGGAACACTGCAGTGCTCAGAGCACCTCAGTGATAACTTGGCAGCTGGTGGACTCGAAACTGAAGCCTTCCGGACCCAGGTCCGCTTCCGTCACCACTGCCCAGCCACCGCTGCCAAGATGTTTGTCTCACCTGTTCAGTCACAGTGGTGTCGGTCATGTAGTAAATAGTGTAATGTGTAACAATGCCACGGGGTTCTGTGGGTGACTTCCACCGCAGAGTAATGGAGGAGATGGTCATGTTAATAACAGACACATTTTGAGGAGGATCCAAAGGCACTAAAAGTGTGAGAAGAAAAAAAACCACATATGAATTGTATTGATCCAGTGATCTTTAAGTTATCATTTTACAAGCATCAAAAGGTCTTCCCTCCAGCACCTGTGTCTGCAGTGGTAAAGCTGATGTAGCTCCTCAGACCTCCGTCTCCCAGGTTAGTCCATGTGGACACAGATGCATTGTAGTAACTTTCTGCATCCAGAGTTACAATTAGTGACGTCTTTGTCACGTTCTCTTCCAGTTCCATTGTTTCATTCCTGACGCGGGAAAACAAAAAACAAAAAAAAAACAGCCTTTTTCAAGAACCATGATCGAGTGGCCTGTGGCCAATGCAGATTTATGAACTCACCAAACTCTGACATTATAGTGTAGTATGTCTGAATTGGCCTCAAGCGGTGGTTTCCAGGACAAATTGATCTCAAACTCTGAGAGTTTTCTGGCCTGCAGCAACTGTGGAGGTGAGTCTGGAGCTAAGATCCAGGAAAATGACTTTCGAGTGAGATGAAAACAGGATCATGTAGAAGTCAATCTGACTCTAAGCCGGTCAGCAATTCAAAGAATATATTCACACTTGGCAAATGAGAAAATCTGCATTTTCAAATTGTCATGAATATTTCAAGAAGAAAAACCAAACCCTGAAATACAACGTAAAAATGGTTATCGTTCTTCTTTTGTGATTTTCCACCCTGCTGGAGGAAAGTGTTGCAGTAGAACCAGGAACCTGTGTTAAAACAGCATCATTAGCAGCGGCGGAAGCAGAAGACGCAGCATAGAAAAAGTAGGAAGTCAGATTTAACTGGATGTCCTGGTCTTCACCCCATGCAGAAGAAAAATGTAAAGGATAAACAAGTTCATTAAAACAGCAATCAAATACTCTTTCTTGACAGAAACACAAATGCAAATTATTTTACAAATTGTTTGTTAGTCTCAAAAACAGGTTTACGATTTAAAAAAAAAAAAGGGATCAAGCTTAGACAAAGGTTCGGGAAGGAGTTGCTAATTGACCATACACAGGACCTGTAGCTGGTGTGATTGAGTGTAAACTCCGGTCAGTAAATAAATCACTGGTCTTATTGATTATCTAATTTCTAATGTACTTTTTTTTGTCATTGATGCATTATGCAAGGGCTGGGCTATAATGAATGTGACATTATACTTTATATCAATATATGCACTCTTGTCATGAAATGAAAACGGTCAGTTAGATAGATAGATAGATATATGGATAGATGGATAGATGGATGGATAGATAGATAGATAGGTAGATACATAGATAGATAGGTAGATAGATAGATAGATAGATAGGTAGATAGATAGATAGATAGATAGATAGGTAGATAGATAGATAGATAGATAGAGAGGGAGATAGATAGATAGAGAGGGAGATAGATAGATAGAGAGGGAGATAGATAGATAGATAGATAGATCGATAGATAGATAGATAGATAGATCGATAGATAGATAGATAGATAGATGGATGGATGGATGGATGGATAAATAGATAGTTAGGTAGATAGATAGATAGAGAGGGAGATAGATAGATAGATAGATAGAGAGATAGATAGATAGATAGATAGAGAGGGAGATAGATAGATAGATAGATAGAGAGGGAGATAGATAGATAGAGAGGGAGATAGATAGATAGATAGATAGAGAGATAGATAGATAGATAGATAGAGAGATAGATAGATAGATAGATAGAGAGATAGATAGATAGATAGATAGAGAGATAGATAGATAGATAGATAGAGAGGGAGATAGACGGATAGACAGATAGATAGATAATAAGTACAAGCAGGAAGCAGCACACCATCAATGAATAAGAAAGACCTGAACAGTGGATGTTAGTAGATTATTAGGTCATTAGTCAGTAGTAGAGGATTAGTATCAGTAGTAGTAGTATTCAATTAAATTACAATTCTATACCACCATCTGTCTTTTCTTAGGATTTGATTGAATTTATCCTCCCACTAGTGTTGACACGAGGAGAATTTCAAAGAGACAAAAGACAAATAACCCATTTGCCCGTCAACCCCCTACGTCCCTCCGTCCCCTCCCCACACCCCAGTCCTCTCACCGTCTTCCAACGTGGTGATGTTTAATAGATCGCTGCTGTTTCCTGGCCCGGCACGTGTGTGCGCCTGCACTGTGGCCCAATACTGCGCAAACTTCCGTAGGTGGGTGATGTGGATGTAGTTGGCGGGTGAGGTGAGGTTAATAAGGTGGCTGGAATTCCAAAGCTCCAGGCTGTAATGGACGATGACGCCGTTAGGAAGTAGAGGAGGCTCCCAGGTCACGTTCACCTCGCTGGGACTAACTGGGTTGTACGAGAGTCCGTAGGGAGGGCTTCCTGGAACTGGTGAGGAAAACATGGTGATGTACCCTTACTGAAATCTTAAAAGAAATATACACTACATATTTTATATGTGGACTCCTGCAGACATACACATCCATAAACTTACCATCCTCTCCTGATAGCAAGTACAAAATGTCTGAGGTTTGGTTGCCATGTCCGTACCGCGTGTACGCCCTCACGGAAACGTTATAGTAAGAAAACGGCCTCAAACCGGTCAACGTGGCAGCGTTTGCGGATGAGTTCAAGACGGCAGAGTAGGATTCGTTCCCATACAGAACCTCGTACTGCTTTATGTCACCGTTGGCACGTTCTGGTGCAGACCAGGTGAGTGTAACGGTGGAGGGGCTGGTCTCCAACACGGTAAGGTTATAAGGGGGAGAGTCAGGCTCTGAGGCAGAAGAAAGAGAAAGAAAGTCGCTGTGTTACCCTTGGAAGAAAAGGGCACGAGAACCATATATTTAAAGGCAGAAAGGTGACAAACAAAATGAATTGTGCTGTGCATCTCTGTGCAGGTCTTCAAAAATAAACTCGCTGATAAGACAGTGAAGTTGATTGTTGACCTTTACCTGACCAGGGTTTATTTGTTGCACATCTTTAGGTTAATACATGGTGAAACAAGTTGTCGGAAAAACTCTGATGAGCATAGATGAACAAAACAAAACCCGAACACAACTACAATTCCTTTGAGGTAAAACGGGGGCCATGTTGACTTTGTCCTCATCCAACGTACTATCCATCCATCCATCCATCCATCCAAACTGCTTTAAATCACTATCTACTTCAAGCACATGCACATACAACTTTCAGATGAATGGCGCATGCAAAAAAGAAAAAAATGTATTTACTTTATTCTTACACATTGGCTTATTTTACCTCTTTAATTTTTAATTTTTTTTTTCCTGTGTCTAAGCGTGCAAAAGTAATGTAATTACAACAGGATAAACTTCATTTATTTTATCTTACTCACCGTCTTCTAAGGTGAAGACATGCAAAAGTAATGTAATTACAGCAGAATAAACTTCATTTATTTTATTTTACTCACCGTCTTCTAAGGTGAAGACAAAAATGTCATCTTCCTCGGAGAGAGAACTCTCTCCAGCAGCTGTAGATGCAGCAACACGGAGCTTATAACCAGTGTACTTCTCCAAATCTTGCAGGTGGTAAACAGAGAAAAAAAAAAGTGAATGACTGTCAATAAACAATAAACAAGGTACTGTACTGTTATGGCATAACTACAATTACCTGTTATCAATATGTTGGTGGTGTTAGACATCCATTGGAGTGGCTGTTTATTATGCAGTTTGAGTCCATAGACAGTGTAGTGTGTGATCTGGCCATTTGGGTTTAGGGGCGGAACCCAGTTCACTTGTATAGAGGTGGAGCTTATGTTCTGATATGTCACTTGTAGCACCGAACTGGGCACTGGGAGACATTGAACAAAAAGTCATGAAGAAATTCTCAACCAAAGTGAATGAACCTGTTTAAAGATACTGTTTATGGTCAAGACAAAAAGTTAGTAATGTGGTGTTATGTCTCAATCCATCCCTTATCTACTGGTTATTTCTTTGCCGCGTCACTTAATCCTCTTAATACAAACTCTATACAGAAAGATAGAGTGGTTATTGCAACAATGTACACTAGCCAGGTAACATATCCCATATATCCCATCATTCATTGCAGTCGTGAGACATTGCGGAGAGAGGAGCAGAATCCGTCCTTTCGTTTTAATTGTGCGAGAGCCCTATATATTTTTTTTAACATTTTCAACTGATATTTGTTAAGCCATGTATTTAATCACAAACAGATTATCCAGAAGGAAACCAGACCATGACATAGCATTGGATTAAAAGTCACTGAGGTCCAGTAATTAAAATTTCAAACGAGCAAACAGAGCTGAATAACCCTTTTTTTTTCTGTTAAATTAACCCTTTGATGCATGACCCATGATATACTGAGTTAAAAAAGTGTTTTTATGTGTTTTTAGACATAAAAATAAGAACTGATTTGGTTCTGTTTTTATACACCAAATTTTCTTTTTGAATGTTGACACAATTATTCTGCAGTTGCAAAGGCTGACCACTGTATGGCAGTGTTGGGTGATTCTCAGGCGTCCACTGTAGAGGCTTACACTGCATGTAACACTGCCATCAAAAGCTATTCTTATCATAGAAAATGACATTTTCATAGCTGTCCACTGTAGTGACCGTCATGCATGAAAGGGTTACATACAAAGTGCATCTTTTTAGAAAAAAAACAAAAACAAACAGAGCTTAGACACTCCATGGCCTTATACATGATTTGTAATTAGAATTAGAATTTGTTTTTTAAATTGACTACTCACCCTGCTCCCTGGTTTTCTCTGTGACATTTGCGACAGGGCCTTCTCCCACAGTGGTAGAAGCAGTGACTCTGAACGTGTATTCAGTGAAAGGATTAAGCTCAGAAACCAAGTAGGACAAATCCTCCGTAAAAACATTCATCACCTCCTCTCTTACTGTCACACCTGTAGCATAAACGAGGATATGGGAAAAACACAATGTGCACACGGGCTTAACAAATATTTCACATATATATTTCTATATATATTTTCACATTAGTTCTCCCCCACCTGTTACACCATAAGCAGTAGCACTGCGCGTTGAACGGCGCGCATCTTGTGTAGAAATGTGAACCTGGCTTGCGGTCTGGGTCAAGGATGAAGAGTCTGAAGTCATGTCCCCTGGTGGTGTTTGACTTGTCAAATGTAAAGATGTAGCAGGTGGCACCCATGTAACGGAAAAGGCGCGTGTCACCGGCATCTCACTGCCCACGTAATCAACCGTAGGTTCTCGGTCGGTTCCCGTGACGTCATCTGTGTACTTAAAGCTCAACATAGTCGAGTCCGTCGGCAGACTGCGGTCAGAGAGGGTGCCTATAAAAGCGGTGGGCGATGTGAACGCACTAAGGTCAGCTGATCTTTTCCGTCGTCCACCTGCTGGACCGTTGGAAACATCTGGAGCAGCAGTCCATTCTTGGTAAGAATCAGTTATATTCTGTAGAAAGATAATACAGTTTAAATGGGAGGGCTTTGTATAAAATTGTATCGAGTTCAAATTTCTGCAATTACAGCGGTATAATTGAACAAATAAAACATGTTACTATCGTTTGTATGATTTAGTTCAATCACTTTTTGTATACAGTGAGCCCTCTCCTATCGCGGTAGTTGCGATAGGAGACCCACCACGAAAACGAAAAATCCACGAAGTAGAGGCGAGATAGTTATTATATTATTTACGTAAATATATTAACCCTTTACGAACCTCCCCCACTCCCCCATTGTATAATGGAAATATAAGACATACGTATTAGGTAAATAAATTAAATACACAACCATGAAAAACAATGTCAAATACATTCTGGTGTTAGAAAATAATTAATTAAATGTATGAATTTATTTATTTGAAAGTCCAATAACTTTAGAGTATAATGAGTCTCTGAAGTATATAAAAAAAATTATTAATGTTATTTAAAAAAAATAAATAACATTGTTATACTATCAAATGCATAAAATACTTCATGTCCATCGTGAATTAATTTTATTATTTAAATGTTATCGTTAACTCCTACATTTATTTATTTTATATTCTCAGCATGAGACGTGCGTCGCTACAAAAAATGGACTGACTTTGCTTACACTATTTATGTCAGAAAATGAACCGTTGACTGAAGCAATTTATTAAATACTTAGTTAAACAATTAATGAAAAACATATCCTAGAAAAATATATTTGAAAAAAATATAAAATATATAATAAAATATATTTTTTCTGGATCTGTGTATAATACGTACTCCTGTGGTGAGGGTGATGTCCTGCACCAGAGTGTCATCTGCAAACACCTGTAGTCTGTACTGGGTGATTGGACCATTTGGCTGAGCAGGGCTTTTCCAACTCACAAGTATAGAAACGGAATCCTCTGCCATTGCACTGAGTTCTTGCACAGCACTGGGTGCTACTCATGTAAAAGAAAAAAACAACAACATTTTATCTTAATCATAAACAACAACAACAAAAAAAAAAACAAGAAGCAAAGCTTTTACAAATGTTTTTGGCAAATGCATAGATTTGGGATTCTTTTGACCTTCAGCAAGGGTAGTTGTGTTATCCTGTGCAGCTGGACCAACCTCCCCAGCTGATTTTGCACGTACAGCCACTGTGTACCTCATGTAAGGAGTCAAACCGGTAAAGGTAAATTGCATATCCGCTGTGCTATTTTCATAACTGGAGCCTGGAATGAGAGCAAAAAAAAAAAAGCTTTTACCATTAAAAAAAAAACATTGCCCTCTAGTGGCTGTCAGTGTGAAAATAACGAACATGTAATCTTTCATAGGTAAGGTATGTAGCAGATACTGGTACATAAGCCTAGAGTGCCATCTAGTGGCTGTCAGTGGGAAAATAATGAACATGTAACTTCATAGGTACGGGAGTAGCAGATACTGGTACATAAGCCTAGAGTGCCCTCTAGTGGCTTTCAGTGGGAAAATAACGAACATGTAATCTTTCATAGGTAAGGTATGTAGCAGATACTGGTACATAAGCCTAGAGTGCCATCTAGTGGCTGTCAGTGGGAAAATAATGAACATGTAACTTCATAGGTACGGGAGTAGCAGATACTGGTACATAAGCCTAGAGCGCCCTCTGGTGGCTGTCCGTGTGAAAATAACAAACATGTGAAAATATACATTTAAATATACAGTTTGCTCCCCCGGCCAGAGGATTAAAAAAAGGGCGACTTGTAGTCCGTAAAATACGGACGGAACTCTAAAATTAGAAACATGGATTGTGTGCACACATGAAAAAAAAAAAAAAAGTATGATAAATTACCTGTTGATCCATAAATATAGAGCACGTAGGTAAATTTTCCTGTGATAATGTTGGGAGAATTCCACGACACAGAGATAGACCTTGAAGTCACATTTCGTACTTTGAAGTTTTGGGGTGAGTCTTCTGGGGCTGCCATTAAGTAACACATAAAGGTTTTATATTTGATGAACAGTAGTTTGGCACATAGAGATACATAGAGATACACTGTTTATGCAGAGATAAGAACCAATTACAGTGGGGCTTCAAGACGCGAGCTACCCAAAATACAAGTTTCCCAAGTTACGAGTAAGCAACTTTTGCAAGATATTCTTTATATATAAGTATATTTCTTGGGGGCTGGAACAAATTAATTGGTTTTTAGTTTTTTTTAATGGAGAAAATGCATCGTATCGCGAAGCCCCACTGTATGTAAAGAGAGCTCTATGAAATAAACATCTGTTTTTATTTAATGTTTCTATTTATTATTACTATTTATTATATTGCTATAAGCGTGTATAAATTTGCAGGACAGAAAATCAGATCCGATGGGGTGGGGCAGTGGCAGAGAACTCTTAGTAGATATGGTACGAGTATGAAGGCAGGACAGATAACTCTAGACAGAGAAAAGAAATGGCTGTCGTCGATTCTTATTTTAGAAAGAGGGAAGAAGGGGAAAAGGTTGTGAAGAATGCAATTCATGTAAGTCATTCAAATCTAACGTCCGTACCTGACTCTGGTGTGCGGGTCATTTGAGAGGCTATCTGTCCTTCTCCGTCAGAAGTGAATGCGGACACTTCAAATAGATATGCAGTGTAAGGTCGAAGCCCATCAACCCCTACTGATATGGGCACACTCCAGGAGGCAGCCGGCGGCACAGCGGAAAGGGTGATGGGTGGAGCCGATGCCGTCATCTCCAACGGACTCAGAGTTGCGCGAGATAGGATGTCAGCTGCATCCTAATCACGGAATATGAGAAATATCTTTTCACCCCGTCGTGTTAGTCTTCAAGGTTTTCAAAGCTTGCTTTGCTTGACATTTCTGAGCTAATTGAGAAAATACAAATCCTCAGTCCCCGTCATTGGACCCTCTTTCAACTAACTTGTCTATTTCTGCACTGGTTCCTCTAATCACGTTATCCCCTCTTGCCTCACCTCTACAAGTAATCCTTCACCCCACAACACAGCTGCCTATCAATAACGTTGATGATACATTCTAGTCTTGTTTCCGCCTACTTCACAGCATACTGAACTACAGTTCAGTGTCAAGGGGTCTTCTAGACTCTCCATTTTATTTGGCTTGACCCTTCGTCAGGGATCACCACTTTGGTAAAACAGTATTTTGGCAGCGTTTTTCCTTCCTGACACAACTCAACGTAATAGTGGAAATTAAGCGTAATGAACCAGTGTCCTGTTGGATTTGCATTCCCTGTTGAATTTTTTGAAAAGTTTTGTCATCGCTTATCCCCGCCCATAAAATCTTAAACTATAGATATATTAATTCAATAGGTAGAATTTACCTATCAGATTTGTATAATGTGTATTAAACTAACGGGCATACAAATTAGAAAGATAGAATGTCCTTTCGAATTTGTATGCCCTTAACCGTCATATGAGGTGTACAAATCCGATAGGTAGAATTCACGTATCAGAAACAAACTAACTGTTTAAAACTAAAAAACTAGAAACCGATTGCTGTAGTTATCAGAATTGTATATAGGCAAACAAATCTGACGGGGCATACAAATCCGATAGCTTAGCTTTCGGATTTGAATGCGGGTGTACAAATCCGACCGGGCGCACAAATTCGACAGAACACCGCCATGAATGTTACCGCTGTGCCACTCTAGCCCCTAACATTGTCCATGGATATTGCAATTTTTTAACAATAAGATCTGGTTACTTTACATTGCAATGAGGTAGTGCAATGGACATGATGTCCCCTGCGTTGACCTCCTGCTCGTGGACCGTCTCAGCCGTACGGGTATGTTTAACCTTGATAGCGAACTTCGTGATGAGGCCGTTGATGCGATGCGGCAGGAACCATGTAACAATGGCATACGTGTGGTTTTGAACATACGCCGTTAAGTTTGTGACTTGGCCCGGAGCTGCAGAAGATGAGAGGATACAAACACGTTTCATTTCATTTTCAATAGGTTATTTTAGATTGGGAAGAAATTGCTGCATGGTTACTTACGAGATTCATTTGTCTGTATATATAAAGCTTTACTGTATGGTCCAATTCCAGATGGGTATGCAGCTGCCACCTATACAAAACCGGAAAATATTATAGTTTTGTTATTGGTTGATTGATTTCAAAAGACTGTGTTCATGGTGTATTTTTAACACCATGAACACCGTGTATTTTCTTAAATGTCTAAAAAATGTTTTAGTTTACAGTAATGACACATTGTTGGAATTCCATTTTTTTTTTTTTTTAGTTTTGAGTTACTTATTTTTTTAAAAGCACTGCTAAAAACTGTTGGTTTCAGTTAAATGTTTGAGATGGGGAAAAAACTTCTACTTGTCTCTTTCATCAAGTGTAGTCTTGACTTACAAAATATGAAGCAAATATGACTCTGTCCTTACATTAAATCTTATCTCCAGAGACTACCTGATAATCAGAAACACAATTTTGTGCAAGCTCAGGGACAAGTTGCAGTGGAAAGAGCTGTGGTTGATCCGAAAGATCTGTTTACCTGATAAATAATGCAATCGGGATCAATTACTGCTCTTCATCCAGATTAAGACAATAGAAGGATTCTGTAGGATTGGGGTTAGATATCCCTCTCAAAGGGGACATTTTTAAACTAAAATAAACATATATCTAAATTAAAATTATAGTTAAACAATTAGTTATTCGATAAGTGAATGAATGAATCAATCAATCAATAATTTTGATCCTAAATGGTAGGACCGGCTGGGCTAGCAGAAAAGCAGCAAACCATCCCTAAAGAACTAAACTATCAAACCTGAATGACACAACCAGAGACAATAACTGACCTGCTCTAGAATGATAATGAATGAATGTCACAGTTCGGAAAGATTATCAATTAGTTAAACAGGTTAGCTAACAAGGATTTGCATAACATACTGTTGCCTTTACTGTGCTGAATCACGATTTACAACCGACAAAGGTGATTGAAGGTCAAAGAAAGTTTTTTTTTGTGCTTTTACTGTTGCTTTTCATTAATTAGTAAGATTATAAATTGAGTGAGATACTATCTGACTGTCCTGTACACCACGGGTCCCCAACCTCCGGTCCTCCGGTCCACCCGCGGTAACGCCTGGCACTGGCCGACCGGTCGTTGGTACAAAAAAAATGAATCTGTAAGTCATACTGTTACAGTATATCCTACCTGAATATGATATGTAGAGCCTGAAGTAAAGGAATTAATAAGAGTCTCAAGAGGTTCCATCTCAACATGAACGTTGACCTGAATGAAGTTGACATCAATATAGGGACATACTTCTTTATACCTGAAAAACAAATAAAGCAAACAAAGACAAATGAAAAACATTTCCCTTTGGCTGGGTTTGCGACTTATACTCAGGTGTGACTTATACATTAAAATATATAATTTGGCATGTTTGTTAACCCTAGAGTGCCGCTAGAGGGCACTCTAGGCTTGTGTACAAGCATTGCTACTCCTGTACCACTGAAAATTTACACGTTTGTTATTTTCACACTGACAGCCGATAGAGGGCATTCTTCTTCATTATGCATATTTTGGAGTGAGTTAAAGTCCGGAAAATACTCGGGAGTTCCCTTCAGGAAATATGTTCTTTGTTCTTTTAAATCTATTTACCATTAGTAGTCTGCATCACTCCTCTCTTTAACTAATCTTTCCTTTCGGTCGGCCGATATTATCAGGTGTCAGTGTGAAAATAACAATCATGTAAATTTTCAGTGATACTGGAGTAGCAGATTATGGTACACAAGCCTATAGTGCCCTCTAGCGGCTATCAGTGTGAAAATAACAAACGTGAAATTATATATTTTAGCGGAGCGGTAAAATGAACCGGAAGCGGGCTTGTGATTTTATTAGAAAAGTGGTTTATTACTTACCTGGAATTAGCAATAATCTTGGACTGTGAACTAATATTTCACTATGAACAAATTACTCTCTGTGAACTAATCTTTCGCTGTGAACTAATCTTTCGCTATGAACGAATCGCGCTCTGTGAACTAATCTTTCGCTGTGAACTAATCTTTCACTATGAACGAATCACTCTCTGTGAACTAAGCTTTCGCTTCGTTCTCGCAGTTTCGTTCCATTTGTCACGTGACAGAGAGCTCGGGTCTCTTTTGCTCTCATTCATCTTCACATTGTGCTGTGTTTTTATTTCTTAGCTTTTCACATGGTTTTAATTGCTTATGGCATTTTGTGTACTTTGTAGACTTTGTCAGCGGAAGCAAACCATGTTGCCTTCAGTATTTAGTGTCGGAGAACCGCAGGCTTCTTGACAACGCCCACAATAGGGCTAAAGCGCCACCTGCTGTAAAACGAATGAAATTATTCGTTCAAGATTCGTTCACGACTCGTAGCAAAGTAAAACAGTAAAACACACCTAACTAATTATTCCCCAAATGTCACAATATTTTATATATTAATATATTATATATACTATTTTATATATAGCTGCACCTGATTATAAGTCCTAAACACAGCCAAAGGATGAAAAAGGGCAACTTTAACTAATTATTTTGATAAAAATAACAAACCATAAATTCAAACATATTGCAAACAAACACCCAAAACCTAAACTTAATGTAGAATTGTTGGAAAGTGTGCTAAACTTTGGAAAAGAAAAACCCAAACTTGTTTTAGTCTAAGTTAATACTGGTTAATGTAAATTGTTTGAAATTATACGTCTGTGACAGTCTTTAGGCAACAGCAACTAGAAGAAAGACTGATTGACTATCGTCAAATAGTTCCCTACGCATCCAAGAGAACTCTTTTCTGACAGAATTGTGAAAACCTCTAGTTAATGTCTGAATGAGACTTTTCTGTGTACTTTTGTGTGTTAAAAGTCAGAGAAATCAACACATAGGCGCCTTCACGGTACTAAAAAAAACTGCGTGTGCTACAATTTCACACGCTAATGTGTGTGCTATTGTTGCTAGTTAGCAGTTTGATTGACACAGCACTCACCTGGTCAGCTACCGCCTTATCAACGAAGTCACCTATCATTGCTATGGACTGCGGTGATAGTCGTGCCCATAGACAGCCAGGCACGAAAACTAGTTTATTTTCAATTAAGTAATGTTGAGTGAAAAAGTGGGACAAAATGTTAAATTTGCGTGACTAGGGCTAAAAAAAAAGGCTAAAATTGCTGTGTGGTAAAACTTAAAGCTGTTTCTCTTTTCTTTCCTGTGAAAAACCTCTTAATCTCTCCTTCTCCGGTGCTCCTGTTTAATTGCTCCACTCTACTGGGTGACACAGACAACTTTTTTGAGCAGTGCTGCCACCTAGTGAACTGAAGTTTGTTTATCTCTGCATTAAAGGATCACTCAAGACTTGTGACTAGTTTAACTTGGCTTTCACCAACAACTACCATAACCACAGGAAAGAATAAGGAAGAGAGTAGTAAACTGGATAACGTTTGTATTCTTTACGATAGACTGATGTCTTGATTTGGTTGGTGGTTAACATCCAAATTAAGAAATTAAACATTTTTTGAACATGTGCAGAGGAGGAAAAAAAAGTTATTATTATTATTAAAAATAAAAATAAAAATAAAAATAAAAATAAAAATAAAAATAAAAATAAAAATAAAAATAAAAATAAAAATAAAAATAAAAATAAAAATAAAAATAAAAATAAAAATAAAAATAAAAATAAAAATAAAAATAAAAATAAAAATAAAAATAAAATAAATAAAAATAAAAATAAATAATAAATATTAATAATAATAATAAACCAGGGGTCCCCAACCTTTTTTGTTCCAAGGACCGATAATACTGCGTCATCCTCATTAAATTCTCGAAATAAATTATATTCTGTTAGTATCAGAGTCTGAATGACCTGTTGTTTTGAAACACTGCCATATTAGGAAATGACTGGATTCCTTTTGAATGAAACTTTTTTTTTTTACTGTTTCACCAGATCTGGGGTTTAAGACCCTCGTAACAGACAAAGATTTGGGTAATAGACCTATCTGACAGGACTAAAAAAAAAGGACCCCAGAAAAAGATTTATGAATACAATGAAAGGGGAGGTGGATATGGTTAGCGTATCATAAATGTAGGCGACGCAAAGAACACAGTGGAACGGAGGTATGAGAAGAGGTTAATAAACATATTACCTTTGCTTGCCTTGTACTTTTTAAAGACAAAAATTACCTGATGACATAATAGTCAACGTTGGTGGTATCAGGCATTTTCCAGGACAGCAGTATGCCGCTAGAGCCCACTGGGTCTCCTTCCAGATCAAAGGGGGTGCCCAGACCTGTGGGTGGACAAAAAAGTTGTTATTATGTTTAGGATTTGTTGGGACTAAATAAAATATTTAAAATTGTTTGATGAATACTTAGTTCTGTACATGTGGACATTGAAGAAACATCTTTTACTCACACAAAACCTTTTCCAAATTTGTTCACTTTGTTGATAATGGCCTAATTTTTTCGCAGGGAATTTTGTGGGTGATCTGGTAGAATTTGGGGATTTTATTTTATAGCATTTTTATTTGCCTCTTCAGGTGGAGGTTAATCAAAGGAGTACAGGGGCTACATGAAGTTTTTGAGTTCGGATGCAGCTAGAACTGTTGTTCTCGAGCTTGTAGATAACGTTCTATCAAGTCACTCTGGACCCGCATGTGACTTTCATCCCTCTGCTGTGGCTCCTTGTGGCTTTGGAAGATGTTACTCGGTATTAAAGACACACTACACTAGCCTACAACTAAATCTTAAACAATTAGAGCTTGTAAATTGTTCAACTTAAAATATCATAAAATATCATCAGGTAGTATCGAAGTACCTCCCTCTGCAGTGCTAAGATTATTAAGACTTCCTACAGCAGAGTCAACTGACTCGAGTGCGAAAGCTTGGGTTTAATATACCCTGAAATATAACTTAAACACCAAAAAGAGGTAAAACACATACCAGTGCACTGTATGGATGTCATAGGGAACTGCAATTCCCATAACTGATGCTTCTGGAAAATCCGCCTACGTACTCCAGAGCCCTTTAAATTAGGGGGGAGGGTCAGCCCCAGTATCTTTCTCTCTGATTGAGATTTTCTGTTGTAAAGAAATACCTACTCTTCTTGCAAGAAGTAGACTTAATGAGCTTTTGTTGGCCACAATGAACAACACAACACTTGCTCTTCTTTCTATTTTAATTTTAACTGATTCATTGTTTTCAATAAGTAACATTACAACTGCAGCCCTAAGCAGTTCATTAAAAGTTCCTTCGGACTTAATTTGCACCGACGCATCATCAACCAGAGACCTTTCGGATCAATAGGATTTTCTACACGCAATGGAACCATATTACGGACGTTTTCCTTAAGGGAAAAATGTTTTCTGCATCTAGACACGAGCAGACGGACAAGGTTGAAAATTGAGCACCCATAGTGTTAGAAATGGGTGTATATGTAGGAGTACTATTTAAAATTAGGGACCGTTTCATTGTAATTAAAGTGTATGTTAAAGAAATTAAAGAGTATTTGTGCTGATTTTATAGATACGTTGTACCACCCAGACACTTTCGCATCCTCAGGATTTTAGCAAAACGTATAATATTACAGTGCTTCTCAATTATTTTCTGTCATGCCACCCCCCCCCCCCGAGGACAGAAATGTTTTCAAACCCTCCGCTCGCTCTCCCCCCCCAATCCACACTACCATGAAATGACATACTATTGAGAACCTGGTAACATGTATATTTTTTATCTTTACAAACCACTCTATGAGTTAGGTTGCTGCCACCTAGTGACTGGAGGCCACACACACTCAAGCATATTTACAAATACTTATTTGTGCCTCGATTGCCTATTGCTGCTACTATATATTTATGTTTTTAACCATTATTATCCATTTAATACAGGATTAGGCTAGTACAGCTACCCAATTAAAAGATATATGTATATATTTATATATGTATGTATATATATATGTATATATATATATATATAAATATATATACATATATGTATATATATGTAGATATATATACATATATGTATATATAGATATATATGTATATGTATATGTATACTCCTACTACAGTATGTGAATGCTATTGACCGTGGTGTATATGTGATACAGTAAGTAATAGAACATTACTGTAGTAGTGCAGTAGTGTAAACATAACAATTTGGAATACCGCACACCATCAATTTAACCGTTTATTCATTTATTTTTGAACACTGAAATTAATGGTAATATTTGAATGAGACCGAATTGGTGCCCTCTGTGAGGCAAATTGGTATTGCACCTACACAGGGCAGCAGAAAACCTGTTATAACTTCAATTAAAAGTCCCCCCTCAAAAAAATCCTGCCCACACAAAAGCATGTAGAAGTGGATGTGCACGCTTATCTCACCAATGTCGTTAGTGACGAGCATGCGGCTGACTCCAGGACTGATATGGGAAGAGGTGGCTGTGGTGCCTGTATATTCTGCCCCCGGAGTGACACTGACCGCACCAGCCTACAAAAAAAAAAAAAAAAAAATATATATATATAGCACAGAGGATTGCACACTGGGTTATTCATATACTGTATATATAAAGAGATGGAATTCCCATCACTAGCTCTGTGACTGTGACTGATTTTTTTTTTCTTATTGGCGTGCTTCTGAAGTGCTGTGTCACTTCCTTTGTTTGGTGTTCTGCAAAAGTCATTAATCTTTAAAGAGATAGTAACCAAATATGCAGCGTGCTGACATGTGGCTACGAAACCAGCGGGAGAGTGCAGGAACTGACACAAGTAGTCACCTTTGTCCATGAATGTGTGAATGTGACTGGTCTCACAATCTGTAAAATGAAAGGATTGCACCTTTTGGTTTTCTCGAGAGGCCCAATTTAAACTCCTTTTTTTTTTTAAAGATTCTTGAGTAAGGAAAACAGCATTTCTGCAGATAGCCTATGTAGTATACTAAACTACCAAAAAGTGTACAAAAACACAGGTAGGTACTGTAGGTATGTGGGTAGGAAGATTGGTTAGTTAGTAGATAGATAGATAGATAGATAGGTAGATAGATAGATAGATAGATAGATAGATAGATAGATAGATAGATAGATAGATAGATAGATAGATAGATAGATAGATAGATGATAGATAGATAGATAGATAGATAGATAGATAGATAGATAGATAGATAGATAGGTAGATAGATAGATAGATAGATAGATAGGGAAATACAGCATAGAAAATTATAGAAAATGGTAAAAGCATTTTAGCCTTTATGCATGGCTTTTACATGTCATTTATATTAGTTCATATCTATCTGCCCTTGACCCGGCCCCCCTGTGGGGAAAGAAGAAGAAAGAAGGTGAATAGATATTTTGTTGCCACGGTGATGGACAAATTGACAGATGACGTCAGGCAGGAGGCTCCATGGACCATGACGTTTGCAGGTGACGTGGTAATGTGGCGAGAGTAGGAAGCAGGTGGAAGAAAATCTGAGGTGTAGGGTTTGCTTTGGAGAGAATAGGTATTCTGTCAGCAGGAGAAAAACAGGTATGTAAACGAGAGTGAGGGCAACGGAACTGTAATGATGCTAGGAGTACAAGTAGTAAATGGGTATAAGTTTTAATAACTAAGGTTGACCATCTAGAGCAGGCATGCGCAAACTAAGGCCCCGGGGGCCTGATGCGGCCCGTTCAGATTTTTAATTCGGCCTGCCAAACTTTTCCACATTATATAATTTATTTATAATATCATAACACATCTGCCTTTCCCTGCAATACCCACATTTCCACAATAGAGGGTGTAGAAAATGATAAAAGTATTTTAAAATTATAGCCTTTATGCATGGCTTTTACACGTCATTTATCTTAGTTCTCACGAACGCTGCATCTATCTGCTCCTGACCCTCCTGACCCTCTGTTCAATATTAGGACAATTGTGGCCCAGCGAGTCAAAAAGTTTGCCCACGCCTGGTCTAGAGTCATGGAGTTTGCAAAAAAAAAAGGTGAAATATGTGTGTAAGCATGGATTTAATGGATGAAAATGAGTGCCAGGTGTGATTTGTGACAAAAGAAAAGAAGTTGAAAGGGGAGGTTAAGACAGTAGTGAGACCTGCTCTGATATGTGGTTCAGAGAAAGTGTCTCCGCCTAAATAGACAAAAGGCTGAGTTGGAGATGGCAGAGGTGAAGATGCTGAGATTTTCACTGGGAGTGAGCAGTTTGGAGATGACGTTGGAGAAGAGAGGTGAAGATGGTTTGGGCATGTGCTAAGGAGAGGTAGTGAATATGTTGGACAATTTATGTAACAAAACTATAGTCCAAAAACATTAGCTGTGGTTAGCTAGGGCGCTTAAATAAAGTCCAAAATCTATATATTGCTCATTGATGCTAAAAAATTAGTCTGGCTATCTTGTTAAATGTTTGTGTTACTTTGGCCCTAGTTTGAATATAGCTCAGATTTTTGCTAGCCAATGTGCTGCTGTATACGCATGATATATATAATAAAACAATCTTCAAATCCAAAACAACATGTAAAACAGGCATAGTACAAGTTATGTATGTAGCATTTAGCCGTTAGCATCGAGAGTCACCATTTTGTATTGGTACGTTGTAATAAAGTTCACTAAATAAAAAGTTGAGAAACATTTATTTTTTTCGTTTTTACAGTATGTACAGCTTTTAACAATGAATACATGATGTTGTGTTTCCAAAGTTTGTGACATTTGAGATTCTTACCTGTGAGTCCACCTTTTCCAGACAGTTCGTTATCAGCAGGATGAGACAGAGGAAGGTCATGATAGGTAGGGGTTGTACATGTAGAAAATGTCACTGGAGGTACGAAGCCTAACCGAGGCGGTCGTCACTTTTAGTCCTCAAACGTTAGCATTGATCAGCGTAGGTAAATCCACTTAGACGAACGAAAGCCACTTTAAGTTAAGAAGCTGGTAAGCTAGGATTGAAGTTAGCTGTCAACACGTAGATTTCTTTAGTACTGGCCCTTGAGGGCAACAACAACAAAAAAAAGGCGGAATAGCACAAACATACACCTCTGGTCTCAGTCCTAAGGGAGAGCTGCTTGAGCAACTGAATGATTCAGGTATGAGCTCATGAGGGTCACTTAATAAATAATGAGCTCTATTCAACCCTGAGCACTGTGTGTGCGTTTGTGTGTGTGTGTGTTTGTATGTGTAAAGTTACATTTTGGGGGGTATCTGACACCTGGCAGCCACAATAAGCCAGTACAGAGCAGTACCGATACTGGGAGAATACACCATATTTACCAGGGGAATTTTTTTATTTTTTATTTTATTTTAATGTAAAAACTGAAGTCCACTGAGGACTTATAGAAATAATATATGGTGTGATTTTGAAGTTTTGGAAATGCTCAATCCTGTCAGACCTTTTACTTGAAGTTCAAGAATCATATGACAAGAAATATATTGGATGTTATGTAAATTGACATATATCTAATTATCATGTTATGTCAAATTTTCATCATGTATGTAAAAAAATTCTTTCCTTATGTTTTCTGGTGCCCAGAATACCGAAGTGCTTTGTCACTTTCTTTGTTTGGTGTTCTGCAAAAGTCGTTAATCTTTAAAGAGTTCGTAACCAGATATGCAGCGCGCTGACATTGCTAGGAAAGCACCAAGAGACTGTAGAACCTGACACGAGTGGCCACCGTTGTCCAAGTATATGTGAATGTGACTGGTAAAAATCGCTGCACTGTAAAATAAGAGCATCTTTTGTTTTCAAGAGCACATATTTAAGGTAGAGAACCTGTGTTAAACTGATGATTTCAAGGATTGAAGATTCCTTGTTCATCAAATCTTTCTCTACAAATGTGCAGAAATAGATACATTGTTCAGAATAGACAGACATACAGATATCCATATAGATAGATAGATAGATAGATAGGTAGATAGCTAGATAGATAGATAGATAGATAGATAGATAGATAGATAGGTAGATAGATAGATAGATAGATAGATAGATAGATAGATAGATAGATAGATAGATAGATAGATAGATAGATAGATAGATAGGTAGATAGATAGATAGATAGATAGATAGATAGATAGATGGATAGATAGA